CCCCCCCCCAATAAAATTAAATGATATCTGACCTTCAATCTGGAAAAGGCTTTGCTGAGTACTCTCATCCTGGATCTCTCCCTGGCGTTTGCCGCGTGCCTCTGTTGAGGTTTGTGGAGTTTCCCGTCTGCCATATCTCGCTCCAGGTCCTCTTTTCTCTTCCTTGGCATCTTCTTTTTTTTTCCTTCTGTTTTCCCGAAACTGTTCTCTTTTCTCTCTCTCGAAATAATCCTCTGGACTTCAAACGAAGAGACCAGTGAAAGACCTTTTCATGACTAGAGTAGAAAGTTCCTCGAATCACTCATACTGTCATGTAGCTGGTCCTCGTGTTATACTCAGGGTGTTTTATCATGATGCAGAATTGAAGAAAATAGGTTGTTCAGGCGCCATACCAGTAATTGTAATAAAGTATTATCTTATCTTATCGTATCTTATCTTATCTTATCTTAGTTCATTCAAAAGTTTACACAAGTCTTACCAATTTCAATAACATCGATATCGTGACTGCTGTAGGAAAGGACTCACATTAACAACCTACGTCTAGTCACAAATAATTCCACTGTTTTTTTGCTTTTTTTTCAATTTTATTGTTGAATTAGTTCGCCTATTCAACACTTTTCTTCTTCTTTTTTTTTTTTGTATGCTAGAACATATGACAGTATGGATGTTGCATGTATACTGTGTTGTGTTTGTGTCGAAAATAAACAATAACACGTTTGCGAACTCTCTTACTACTGCTTCTTCGTCATTTTCACCCTAAGACTGAGAGAGTGAGAAAGGCAGTGAAAGCGACGACGATGATGATGATGACGAACGGTGCTTTTACTCTGTAGTCATGGGATCATCCACGCAAGGACGATGTTCACAAAACTGAATCCAAGCTCCTTAACCTTCATCCACAACAATACCGGCGTCACAGATCCACGTTCTCACGCACACGTCGCTTCAGGTGAGTAGTAAGTTGTCAACATTACCGCTTCAGTGACGCCACGACTCATTGTCCTTCAATACGATGAAGTCAGTGATTTCACTTTCCTGTCTTTGAATTCCAATTTTCCTAAAATCTGAAAAGTAAAAATTAAATTGATTACATTAAGAGATAGGAGAAATAGAACGTTATAACGGATCGAAACTGCAAGCAATTGCTGCCAGCTGAACTGCTGCGTCACACACACACACACACACCTCTGAAAGGCTAGCTGATTGTATTGGATTGTTTTAGTAGAGGTTTTACGGCGCTCGCAACTGCAAAAAGTCATATGAGCGCCAAGGGGTGGATGTCAACAGAGAGGTCCTTACAGGGAATCAGACTTACTCTGCTCACTTCTCTAGCTTCAACAGCACAAAGTCTGCTTCCACTATCAATGGTGTGTGTGTGTGTATGTGTGTGTGTTTGTGTGTGAGTGTGTGTGTGTGTGTGTCTGTGCGTATGTGTGTTTGTGTGTGTGTGTTTGTGTGTGTGTGTGTGTC